ACTTAAACCAATATACTGACTTATTTAAATATGAAAGAAGGTAGAATTACCTACTTCAACGATAAAACACCATAACTAACAGAACATTGATTTTTAAAGTACAGGAAGAGATAAGAAAGGATAACTATGAGCGTTGTCGTAAAAAGAAAAACACCCTAAAGATCAATCAAATTTCATTCTCATACTTCAACTACTCAAACTGTATTCTCAAAAACGTCTTATTATTTTGAATAAAAAACCTAGAATTTCCACGATTTAACTGAATTATAAAATTTAACGTTGACATATACACGTACGTATTGCACATATATATTATTCGCCAGCAATACACACACAGCAGTGCACAAACGTATGCATATATATGCATATCATTTACATAGCAACAAAACACATATATATATACGCGAAAATATTTTATACTTTTCTATTATTGTGTTGATATCTCTCAATGAATATAAAAACAGCAATGCAATATACTGAACAAACACCGAATCAACTATTTTTTCGATTAATTTAACTTAACTTAAAAACTCACCCTTCCCTTCTCAATCATTATTCTTCTCAGTTTCCAGCCAAACGTGTTCAGATGTATTCCTGTTTTTAACGATACTCATATACACACGCATGCACATATATATCACTCGCCAGTAGTACACACACTCGCGCACATATGCATATTATTTGCATAGTAACAAAACACGCCGCGCGTATACAAGAAATAAATTTTATACTTTTCTAATATCGTTGTTACGTCTCCCGGTGTTCGAAGGATACTGACGTGTGAGTATGAAAACAACTACGCAATACACTCGGTGCTCACCGAAATCACCTTTAAAATGAATCGAAGGAAGGTCAATGTGTTTACAAATTCAACGACGAAATTTTTAAATATAAACGATAACATTGGAATATAGACACCGGCTAAGGAGTGGGTGTATGTATAAATAAAAAATTTAATGGTATTAAGTCATTTTATAAACACTCAATAATCGATCAATATATTCCGTATTGTTAGAGTGTATTTCTCGCTGGAAAATGAGTTTTCGAAATAATCTCGCGAGATAAAATTTTAATATTTCTGGTATGTTTGTGTGTGTGTGTGTGTGTGTGGGTATGCATGTTAAATACATCTTATCAATGAAATAAGCATATTTACAGTAGGATCATTAAAATGTTTATATAGAATTATTTCTAAAACGCTTATTTATTTTAAGTAAAACCTAGAGTTTCCACGATTTAACTGAATTATGCAATTTAACGCTAACACATAAATATATACCTATGATATTATACATGCATAGATACGTAAGTTGTATGTAACAGAAAACGTAGGACGTTTAAGAGACAATGCGTGTGAAATTATTTCTACATGTGATATTATTTCGAATCGCTGTTACACCTGTGTGTTTTAACGAAACACACAATGTTGCTACCACTGTTAGTAGCAATTAGCGGCGCGCGTCTTTTATGCAATACATATCTTACACTCGACTGAAAACGATTTAAACGTACGACGGGAGATATCAGAGAGCTCTTAACTGGGCCGCGATAAACGATAACACAGACGACGCACACAATCACGCGGCTAAGTAAGAACACTTGCCTACTTGCATGCAACGAACCATGGAACTTCGAATAAATATTTCAATTAACTTAGGATTTAACGAACGTGCGAATTTCTAACTCGAGTATCGTCGTCACGTGTCTTCACAAAATTTTCAAATAGATAATAAGTAAATCTAATATAAAAAAAAACAAAACAAACAAAAATTGAATTGAAATTAATTAGGAAGAATGAAAAGAAGAAAATGTCAAAGATGATATATATCAAATAAAAGTTTCTTCATTAAATTTAATCTTACGATAAACACCGCGTAGATTTGGTTGCTGCTGCAGGTGGTGTCGATGGTGGCTCGAAAAGAAAAAAAAAAAACGAACAAAAAAATGCAAAAGAAGGGAAAAGAATGGTATGACGATGACTATGCAAGTGAACGGATGAAGAGGACACAGGGCGAAGGGCCGACGACCGATTTTCACGGAGAAGGTAGCACACGCGAAAGGAAGAAAAAAGATAGTAGAAAGAAAGAGAAAGAAAGAGAGAGAGAGAGAGAGAGAGAGAGAGATGAAGAACGGGTTCTCCGGAGAGACTTTTTTTCCCTCCAAATCGCCGATTCGTCGCACTAGCCAAGAAAGAGAGGGCCGCACCCGCGTGCCTCTGCATTACAATTTATCACCGTCGTTAATAACGCATACGCCAAGACGAAGAAGATAGTGGAACGTAAAAAAAAATAAAAAGAAGTATAGAGAGAGAGAGAGAGAGAGAGAGAGAGAGAGAGAAAGAGGGAAAGTATCTTATCGTTTACCGCGACGAATTCTTTGATTCAGCACGCGTATCGTTGGACGAAAGACGCTCTTTGACCCAACAGAGCAGCCTTTTTGAATGAATGAAAGAGATATCTCCTGGAAGATTGTTTAACTCGGCGCGGCTTACCATCTCGGACCACTATGTCGCTTTGTTTTAAGTGTTAAAAGGAGAGGAAGATTTTTGGGTGTCTTAAGACAGTGATAGATGTCCTTCAATCATCCATATTAATCTTTACGAACGACTGAATTTAGAATCTTTAAGACCCTCATTTTTTAATCCTCGAAATTCGCCGTTTTAATTTCATTAAGATATACGTTCGAATGGAAGAAAAAAAAATTTAAAAAAAATAAAATAAAAAGAAGAAAAAAAATTAAAATGTGAAAGGAAGATCTTTATCGCGAATACTTAAACACGTTGCAACGATGTAAAAATGATGTTCGATAGTAATGCGCGAGCTACGCGCATTTTTCATTTCTTCTTTTTTTTTTCTCTCTTATTTATTTCAAGCACAGCTATATGACACACGATCATAAATATTTATTTAAATATTGAATAAAATGAACTCGAATCGAAATTCCTGAACTATCTAAGTATGTACTTAAGTATTTCCTAGCAAATAGAGAAGAGTTTATTCGAGGAAGGATCAAGTCACACCGCAAGTACGAGAAATTCGTTTGGTTGATCATAGTAATACCGGTTTATCTGGTTTCCTTTCTCTTTCTTTCTACTATCTTTTTTCTTCCT